TTTATATGTGTATTTTTTGTTAGGTGGAGAATATATCTATATATATATATATATATATATATATATATATATATATATATATATATATATATTTGTAGTCATAGAAAATAAGTATAATTTATAATGTTGTGTGGTTGATATTTTTTTCTCACGGAGAAATTATATAAAGGTGACTTCAATCCAATTCACTCAAGAAATTGATATAACTTTTAATCCAAAAGTATAAGATATTGAGTTTATAGATTTTTTTTTTATTTTATGTTTTTTATTTTTTAGACTTACACATTTAAATTATTTTCAACACTTTTGTAGTATAGTTTAAATCGACGACTCACAATTTATTTTTTTTCTCATTATTCACTATGAAAGAAAAAACAAATTATGTAAATTTGGTTCCCTTTGATAGGTCAAATGAGAATAAAGTCAAGTAACAATTATGTTTTTATCCTTCATTTATTTATTTTTATTAAAGTGTAAGTAACAATTATGTTTTTATCCCTCATTTATTTATTTTTATTGAAGAAGAGATAGAAAATTGAAGGATTAATATCAAATTTTGTAGGCTCACAACTAGGGATGACAATTTTATCCGCGGGCACGGGTACCGGCGGGTAAAATCCGCGGCGGATAGTAACTATCCGCGGATATTTACTACCCGCGGGTAACGGGTAGCGGGTATTTTAATACCCGCTTCTAAACGGGTCGGGTACGGGTAGTATACTACCCGCCCCGCGAGTACCCGTTACCCGAAAAAATTAAAAAATAAATAATTTATATATATTTTTAATTAAATTTAATTAAAAATAAAATAAAATTATATTTTATTAGTTTAAATTTAATTAAAATTAAATTTTAATTTACATTTAATTTAATTTATATATATATATATATATATTTGTATTTTTATTTAAATTTTATTTTTAAAATGTATTAAATATAATTTTTTAATATTTTGCGGGTATCCGCGGGTACCCGCGGATATTTTTTAAACGGGTACCCGGCGGATCGAGTTGCGAATAGGCACTACCCGTACCCGACCCGACCCGACCCGTTGTCGTCCCTACTCACAACAATCCAATTGAAGCAATCTAGCTTTCTTAAGAGATGAATTATTCAACTACAAAG